TTTCCCTTGCATCCTTTTAGAAAAATGTATACATTTCTCACTGCCTAATTCCCTTTGGGCCCTGGATATACAAATTAAATCTGCTGCCTACAGCTATTAGAAGAAACAAATCCATTATTAATTATTAGAAATTAATCTAACATTTGGATGTGTTTAACCTAGAATCCAGGAGGAAATGGAAACATAGAAAATGTAGCATAAACATCAGATTTCTTTTTCTTTTTTTAAAAAAGAAATCATACATTACAGCATGGGTGCTAAAACAATGGGACTATATCAAAAGCTGCACATGGAAAAAATAATACAAGAGGCTTTTTCAGACGGTTTCTACATCTGGATATATTTTAACACTTCCATTCATCAGCTGACCTCTCACCTTCTGTATCAGTTGGAAGTGATAGTTTCTCCTGTAAAATCACAATTACCTTCAGCCTAAAATGTAAACTATAATAGAACCCAGTGGACCACTACAAAGATATATGCGGACATTTAGAAAAGAGAATTAGACAAAGCATGATCCTTTCTTACTTTAGCACAGCCCTAGGGAAACAGTAAGTTATATGTTGACAGACTCCATATGTGTTATGTTGCTCTTTAGACCTACAATTCAATATAAAATGTGTTTTTAGCAGAAAATCGGCCATATTTCATGCAGAAATGATGCCTATGATACCAAATTCCATTTTCAAAGGAAAAAATGGATTTCAACCAGTGGTGGGATTCAATTTTTTTTACTACCGGTTCTGTGGACCTGGCTTGGTGGGTGTGGCAGGGGAAGGATACTGTAAAATCTCCAGTTGGAGGTGGTATTTGCCAGTACTCCAAACTACTCAAAATTTCCGCTACCGGTTCTCCAGAACTGGTCAGAACCTGCTGAATACCACCTCTGATTTCAATATCACGTTGCCTCGTTTTTTATTTTTATCAAGAAGGAAATGCAAAACTATGATGAGCAGGCAAGTTTTTCATATTCTAGTTTTATTTTCTACAACTTTTCCAGCATACTGAAATTTTAAACAATCTTTTTGTCCCTTTTATCTCTTTTAAAATTAAAAATCACAGACCCAATAAAAATCCAAAAGGAACATATTTTAATTCAACAAGAGGATTCAATCCAGCCTCATAATCAACTAAGTAAAACAAGGTCTAGGGTGTTGGAAGCACTAAAGCTAGGAGAAACAGTTCCTGAGTTTTGTTGCTGGCACATTGCAAGTTAATCAGAATTATACTAATATGACAAACAAAGGTGCAGATTACATTGTATGGAGCCTGAGCACATGCTTATGAAAATCAGCATTACTTACTTCTGCATACATTAGATATATCTCAGTAGAATCTGGTTCTGTGTATCTTATGTAGCGTTAGTTTAATCACTATAGAAAATTTGTTCAAAGATTAACTATTATCTATTCATTTTTCTTAAACATTTACACCTACTTATCCTACAGATCTCAGGATCTGCTTTAATCCATAAATCACAGAAGATAAAACACTCATATAAAATAAAAGTAAATGATCACTAAAAAGTTTAAGGAGCAATAACTGTAATACAATAATAGATAATTTTGGGAGGACCAATGGCCAGACTATTCTGAACGCTTGAGTAAAACCAAGTATTTCCATGGTGCTAAAAACCAAGCAAATTTAACAAATTCTTTCCATCAGCAACACAACACAAATGGTCTGTCCAGGACAATGAAATAAATGACTCTCCCCATGACTAGATTCTCTTCCTTCTACCCATAGCACTATCTAAGCCAGGGCTGTCCATCTTTTGGCAACTTTAAAACTTGTGGACTTCAACACTCAGAATTCCCAAGAATGGCTGGCTGGGGAATTGTGGGAGTTGAAGTCCACTGGTCCTAACGTTGTGAAGTTAGACATTGCCAATCTAAGCCCACATGCGTCAAGTCAATGATGAAATGAGGCAGCATCTTGGCAATCATGGAGGCTGGAAACTCCTAAACCTAGCACGGGAAAGGGTCCCCATATGCACTGTAAATTCTCCAAAAGGACCATTCTGGAATTTTCTACATCTGACCACTTCAGCTAACCTGACTACAGAGACCAGCACTAAATATGACAGTTGCTATACCATCAACCTCTTTTTCTAAGTCTTAGTATATCCGGTATGTACCTACCTACGTGTAAAAGTATTTTCATAGCACCCACAGATTCTATTTAATGTATGTCACTGATCAAAATGTTCCCACAGAGGATCCAAAATATTTATGAGTTCTGTGCAATTTGTGTGCATGTAAACTGCACAATAATTTCAAACAGATTCGTGTGAAATGTGAGACATACATATAACTTACCATCTGCCATCTCTGCACAGAGCTGCAACCCTAAATTATTCTGTGGGTCAATCACCCAGTGGTTGCTGGTTACAGTGATATCAAACACAAGCCAGCCAATATGAGGAGCTTGAGCTCGTTTTGTATCTAATAGGAACAGGTCCGCATCCCTAGTATAGAAAGAAAGAGCAAATAAAAATGCATGATAATTTAGGTTATTGGGATTAATTTTGCCAGAAAAACATTGATTCTGACTGTGGCACAGCAAGGCAGACAATCTACATACACATGACATCACATGTTGGAAATGAAAGGCAGTGATCCATAAACTAATTAAATTACAGCGCTTCATATTAATTTCTCCAAGATAATTTTGTGTTGGCATTATAATCCAGGACATTTATATATATATATTTATTGCTATAGACTTGATATACTAAGTGATTTCATCTCCCACAGTTCAATTCTATGAACATGTAAGTGTTGCAGATGTAACAGAAATTCTAATATTTGCATGCAAAGTATAGACAATGATGAGAAAACCCATAAAGATTAAGCTTTAGAATAGACTAATAGTATTTTGAAGTATTTTTTCCATAATTTGTGCATGGGGGGAAGCTATATATTATTTTGATTTTCTGAATAATTCTATGAAAACCACACCAAAAATCCATCCATTCTAAATATTTTAAATCTCAACTTACGATCACAATTGAGTCCAAAATTTATGTTGCTAAGTGAGAAATTTGTTTAAGTGAGTTTGCCCCATTTTTACAACTTTTCTTGCCCCGTTGGTTAAGTGAATTGTGCAGTTGTTAAATTAGTAACACGGTTGTTAAGTGAATCTGGTTTCTCCATTGACTCTGCTTGTCAGAAGGTCGCTAAAGGGGATCACGTGACTCCAGGACACTGCAGCCGTCATAAACACGAGTCAGTTTCAAGCATCCAAATGTAAATCAGGTGACCAGGGGCATGCTGAAATGGTCATAAGTGTGAAAAATGGTCATAAGTCAATTTTTCAGTGCCCTTGTAACTTTGAACAGTAAGTAAGGAAACTTGTAAATCGAGGATGACCTGTATTTTCCAAATTTGTTAAATATTTTAGATATGTAGTTCATAGATCTTTTTGAAAATCAAGTCCAAGATTATGATTTTACCTACTTTTTCTTAATGGAATATTTGCATTAAAAATTACTCATGGTGAGGAGCATGGATGTAGCAAATCTCATCTTAAAGTTCATTCATGGCTTCATATCCCAACTCAAACACAGGAGTCCTATATACTGCACATAGATTAAGAAAGTAAATGTAGCTCTTGGTTCTCTAAAAATAAATACAGCCAAGCCGTATAGTATACCCCTTGTTGCAGCTAAATTAAACTTGGCTTGCTTTATTCAAGGTTAAGGGCAGCAAGTATTTTTCAAAACTAGTCTTGTAAATTGTGCATGTAATTCTTGCATTTGCTCATCTATAATGATTAACTGAGCTAATCATTTACATGATGAAATTGGAAAATTGGATACCTGTGACTTTTCCTTCTGGCAACCTCACTGGACATCCTGAGTACAAGAGATGAGTTGTTCAACCTTCCAACCACTAGGAGAAAAAGACTCCAGGTAGAGGCTGAAAACAGACATGCCGGTATGAGGAACCACCTCTCTGTTCTCAATCCAAACCAATATCCCTATTTTCTTTTTCCAGACTTGTGAGGTTGGGTGATAGAGGTTTTGATCAGGGCTGCCCTGAATTTATACATTGTGTAGATGTTTAGAGGAATAAATGTTCCATGTCAGTTGGATCATTCCCCTATGGAGGTAAGCTAAGTCACGCATTGTCTTTACAATGCTGTCTTTAATGGCACCTCCTATTTGAACAGCTGTCCAGATTAAACTTTGTAAAGGAAGAACTGAGCAGGGGCCGAAGTTATTCATCAACTGCTGAAAGAACAGGCACACAAAAAGGAACCTCAGCACAATCTCCCTCACTCTGATAACACATATTTTGTTCAAACTAAATAGAATCTTTCTAAATATGCATCTCTGCACATGAATGGTTTTTGGGGTTTTTTTGCACATCCATCTCTCTTTTGTATTTCTATTAATGATGTGTCCCTTTTTCATACAATGATACAACATCACCAGAGTCCTATCTAATCAGTGAAACATTGCCATAGCACTGACTTTTTAACCAGACATTTTTACCAAAATGAGCAGGCTCATGAGCTAGATCTATTGCTGAGCATGCCCCTTTAAGCTCTGGGTTCCATCATGGTACCCACAAGTATTCCCCTTGGTCTCTACTTGTTTTATGTTCCACCTGATTATCTATTGTAAAGAGAAAATAAAATAAAAGGAATGCATTGCATGGATCATCATGTAGCTGGGCTGTTGTAATATGTTCTGTGTGGGATAATCTATGGAAATGACTCAAAAACTACAACTGGACCAGAATGTAGTACCTAGACTGTTGAAAAATAACAATCATTTTGAAATTAATGCATTTTTAACAATAAGGTTCTGGGTCCATTTCAAAGAGATTATCACCCACAGAGCCCTACGTAGCATTTCACTTCTAGATATCAGATACGTAGATGCCTGTGAAGACTTACTAAGGGCCTTTCCTTCCACAAGGCGCGAGCCAGATGGTAGACCCTTCCTGTAATAGTCCTTAAGATGCATCACCTTCTCCTTGGCATTCTGCAAAGCAGTTCAAACTTTATTCCATCAAACTTTGATTCTAATTAATTGTAGGTGGACATTTGAAAAAGGGGGGGGGACTTAATTTAATTATATTGTTTGTATATCATGTTTTGTCATAGATCACCCAGAATCTTTAGATTGGAGTGGATTACAAAAGAGTCAAATTGACAGATTAATACACCCAAAAAGCATTTCCAGAAAATTTAACCTGGAAATAAGGAGAAACTTTCTGACAGTGAGCACAATCAACCAATGGAACAGCTTGCCCTCGGAAGTTGTGGGAGCGCCATCACTTGAGACCTTCAAGAAGAGATTGGACTGCCATTTGTCAGAAATGGTGTAGGGTCTCCCGCTTGGGCAGGGGGTTGGACTAGATGACCTACAAGGTCCCTTCCAACTCTGATTATCTGTTATTTATCTGTTATAAAATAAAGATTACAGATGGTTACAGCTCAGTGCTTTGTTTGGAAGTATTTATTTATAACATTTATTGGCTGCCCATCTTACCACAAGATAAACAAGTATGTCCACCTGCCCAGAAAAATGACACAGGTAAGCTGGGTAGGTACACATTACTTCCACTTAAGGCATCCTGCAGATTTAGAGAAAATAAGAACCTCACTTGTTTACCTATGATAACTGGATGTTGTGATTTGTTATGTCCCTCAAAGTAAACATTGTCTCAGTGTGTCTTTGGTGTTTTCTCAAAATTCTAAATGAGTTTATTTAGAAAAGATTGGGGAACGATGATTTAAGGACATGTGCAATGAATTATGCTACCAGAGGCTGGGCTCTGTGTCTGGCCTACACCATTACGGATGGCTGAGAACTATATTTTCTTCCTATGGAGATTCTCAGTCATCCAGGTCATAGTTGTCCCAAAGGTGCTTTGAACCCAACTTAATAAACTCTATTTCCTAGTCATGTCACCAGTTATACACCCTCATTTTCTCAGTAAACTGGGCTGTTAAAAATCTAGCAGCTGCATTTAATGTTATTAATTTTGGCTAGTTTTGGTTGGATGGTGAAGATGTGTGTATGTGTGTGTGTGTGTATTTGTAGATTTTCACGGGTACAGGTATGCAGGTCTTGGCATGTTTGGGTCTTTTCCCGTGTAAGATTGAGAGTATCTTGGCGACGTTTCAACGAGGTCCCACTCGCCATCTTCAGCCTGGTGCTTTCGGCTTCATGCTTGTGCGAGCAAAGCGTGATCGGAGCTGCCATCTCTCTATAAATACTGGTGGGGAGGTTGGCTGTGTTGTCATTTTTTGATTGGTTAATGAAGTTGATGTTTGCAGATTGGCTGGCTTTTTCGTAAGAACATGTGTGGCTGAGGTATTGGCTGTGTGTCTATCAGCCTCCTGTGTTGTAACGACCTGGGTAATGGGCTGTGTGATGACCTTCTGAGTTCTATTGTTGTGACATCCTGGGTCTTGTGCTGTAATCTCCTGGGTCGCTGGCTGTGTTGCAACATCCTGAGGTTTTGTGGTGTAACCTCCTGAGTTCTGTGATGTGATATCCTGAGCAGGTGGCCGTGATGTGACGTTCCAGGTTTTGGTTTGGCTCTGAGTTTGAGGCCTGGATATGTGTTCATGGCATGTGTCCGTTTGCTTGGTTTGGGGGTCGGGGTGTGTGGCAGCTGGTGATGCAGCCATGGTCTGGTTTCTGGTCGGTGGTTGTCTTTCATCTATGGGATGGGTTTGGGTTTGAGTCTGATAAGGGAGAATGGTGGTGGTGTCATGTGTTGTTTTGGGTCCAGTGTTGGTTTTCGTGGCTGGGACTCGTTTATTGATAAGGGCTAGTTTCTAGATGTCTGGTAGGCAGGAGGTATCGTCCCGTTTATTCATGTTATGGAGTGTTTCTCTATTTCGATGGCTTTCCTGATTATTCTCTTGTTGAAGTGTTCAGTATTGGAGATTAATTTGATTCCCTCAAAATTATTTTCATGTCCTGTGGCTTTAAGGTGCTGGAAAAGGGAGGAAGTGTTTTCTTCTTTTCTGACTGCGTTCTTGTGTTTTCCGATGCGTGCATTTATTCTCCTGTTGGTTTGTCCAATGTATGTGGCTGGGTAATTGTTGCATAGTATTTCATAAACTCCTTGGTTTTCTAGCTGGATCTTGTCTTTGGGGTTTCTTAGGATGTTGGCTATTTTTGGTCAGTGCCGAAGGCTGTCCTGATATTGTGTTTGTGGAGAATTTTGCTGATTTTATCTGTGGTGCCTTTGATGTAGGGAAGGAGGGCGATACCGTTGTCCTGTTCTGTGTCTCAGTTTCTGGGGGGTGTCTCCCTTAGGATTAGGTTGGTAATTGTGCTTCTTTGAAATCCATTGGAAATTAATACATTAGTGAGGGTGTGTAATTCTGTTCTCAGGTGGTCTTTGTTGGCTAGGCGTTTGGTTCTGGAGATGAGGGTCTTGGCTACAGAGTTGATCTGTGCAGGGTGGTGATGGGATTGTGCGTTTAAGTAGCGGTTGGTGTGTGTTTTCTTCCAGTGGATGGTGTGTCCTAGGGAGCCATTGGGTTTTTTGTAAATTAGGACATCCAGAAAGGGAAGTTGGTTGTTGGCTTCTGTTTCCATGGTGAATTGCATTTTGGGGTGTAGGCTATTGAGGTGTGTGAGGAAGTTGTCCAGTTTTTCTTTCCCATGTGGCCAAATTACAAAAGTGTCATCTACATATCTAAGCCAGAGTTTGGGTTTGGGTTCGGATTTGTCTACAGCATTGGTTTCAAAGTGTTCCATGTATAGGTTAGCGATGATGGGTGAGAGGGGTGATCCCATAGGTGCTCCTTCTATCTGTTTGTATCTTTGTCCATTGTGGATGAAGTATGTGTTGGTTAGGCAGTGGTTGGTCAGATCTAGGATGTGCTTAAGAGGGTTGTATTTGTTTTGGATGGCTCTCAAAGCTTCTTTTATAGGCACTTGGGTGAAGAGGGATATGACATCGAAGCTCACGAGTAGGTCGCTGGGTTGTAGGTTTTGTTTCTTTATTGTTTCTTGACAGCCATCCAAAACATACATACATACATACATACATACATACATACATACATACATTCGTAGATTTTCACGGGTATAGGTATGCAGGTTTTGGCGTGCTCGGGACTTTTCCCGTGTAAGATTGAGAGTACCTTGGCTTACCTCGTTGAAACGTTGCCAAGATACTCTCAATATTACATGGGAAAAGACCCAAACATGCCAAAAATTGCATATGTATGTATGTATTGTATGTATGTATGCATGTATGCATAAATGTCTGCACCTTAGTGGATTGTGCAACCAAGCCTATCAGGTTGGTTGTTACTTTGGTATTTTGTGCAAACCCAGGAAATAGATTAATTCTTAAATCAGTATATGTGCAAACATAGTTTGTTTTCAGTGTTTTGTCATCTATTAGTTGGTAGATCTCAGAATCTATCAGATCCAGATTGCAGAATTAGATCTTCTATATCCTTTCCCGTCATCTAATGCCCAGATATTTGTACCTACCCTAAATCTAGTACAGGTAGTCCTTGACTTACAAACATTTGTTTAATGACCATTCAAAGTTATAACAGCATTGAAAAAAGTGATTTATACTAATCTTCTCTATATAGTTCTAATTTTAGAATGCCTCAGCAGCACATATACTAAAATTGGAATAGTACAGAGGAGAAAAAAGTGATTTATGATCCATTTTCACACTTATAACCAATGCAGCATCCATAACAGTCGCCTGATCAAACTTTGCACGCTTGGCAACCAGTATATATTTATGATGGCTGCAGCAACCCCAGCATCCTGGGATTGTCATTGGCAACTTTGTCAGGGAGTTTCTGATAAGCAAAGACAATGGGGGAAGAAGATTCACTTAATGACTACATGATTTACTTAATAACTTGTTGTGGTTCGCCGGCAGCAGGTGCGGATGGCTGAGGCCTCGGAGAGTGAGGACTCAGATGAGGGGCCTGAGTGTGATACACGGATGGGGCCAGGACTATTTGAGAGTGGAATGCTGCCTTCAGAGATTGTGGAGGCTGACGGCAGTGATGCAGAGGACCCCAAGGAGCCTGTGCCCAGTGCGTATGCACTCAGGGCTGTTCAAAGGAAAGAGCAGCTACAGTAGCACGGGCGACTTGGGAGTAAGGCTGCAAGGTAATGGCCCCTTCCTTAAGAGATAAAAGCCAGCCTGAGAGACTGGGATTCTTTGCAGGAAGCAAAGAAGCTCTTGCACTTAAAGCCTTGTGGACATTTGGACTATCCTGGTTTGTGTTTGGAGACTTTTTGTTTTGAATATTTCTTGGCAACTTAATCTAGTGTTCTTGGCAGCCTTGCACAACCTTGGCAAGGCTCGTTCTTATCAGGGACAATTAGTTTTCATAGCCTTTTAACTGTGAATGAACAGAATTCGCAGAGAAGTATTAAAAGGTTTTGCTTTTACCTCTGTTTGGTGTTCGTTTCCTTGGAACAAGGTTTGGGTCAGAACATAACTTCAATGATTCGCCTAACAACCATGGCAAAAAAAAGTAAAATAGGACATGACTCACTTAACAACAATTTTGTGCTCGATTGTGGTTGTAAGCCAATGACTACCTGTAATGTTATCTGTGGATTTGACTCAGATCCCGTTTATAGTGGAAGATCAGCAATGATGCTTGTAAGGGGAACTTAACAGCTTTCCTGTGGGTGATGCTTACTATCTGTTTACTATTTTTCTAGCAATTTCCCCTCGACAGATTTACAGTAGATGTTTCTGTGAGAGAAAGGGGGTAAGGGAGAAGCAAGTTTCTAGCACAGGCTCCCTGCACCCTGCCTCTCAACAAAAAGCATTAAGGGCATAAGCCTCTTAATGAAAAAAACCCAAAAGCATGCAGAAACTGTCTGAAGTGGAGAAAACCCAACAAAGTGGTGGGGAAAAAGAACATCTCATTAGCAGCTATCCAGTTCTACATCACAAACACCTGGAACAACCAAAAAACAAAGATAGTATACCAACAAGATTGAGAGGGAGAAAATAAATAAAAGTGAATAATAGCTGAGGGTCAGATTCACAAGAGGCCAGAATATAAAACGGTGTAGCAACCCACAAACCACACAAAAATCTCTAAAAGGTCCTTCAAATTCTAAGTAAAGTATCTACATCTACAGTAGATCTACTCTGGCAATAAAAAAGTGTTTTTGTTGATAGGAAGTGCTTAGCCAGCATAAGTTCTTTAAATAGCTACTGTGGTTATTATCTATTCTAATTGTAAGTAAATAAAATGCCTACAAGTTGCTGCACTAAATTCTACCCCATTCAGAAGCTATTTTGTCCTTGAAAAATGATGATATTCTCAGCCACCAGTCTAAAACCTGCCATTTGATTTCATACTGGTTTGTTTTTTTCTTGCTCTTCCATATGAAGGAAGGGAAAAAGCTCTCATACAACAAGGACTAAATATTGCCAAAAGGCAAATGAAACTCCTTGCAGGGGATTCCTAACACACAAATAGGCAAGGCCATATACAATTCACAGGAAAACATCACCAATAGCTAAATGAATAGGATGTATTTCTTTTCACTTTAGAGATCTTAAAGGAAAATTCACAGGTAAAACCATTTTTTCCTTCACCTTTTAAAGCATCTTTGATATACAAGGTAAACATTTTCATGGCATGAACTCTTGATGGAGAATCAGAGCTGTGAGTTTCAGACTGAAGCAATGTTCTTACTGAACAATGTTCACATCAATTAGAGACATAATGGCCATTCTTATCTATATGAGATTGAGCGCTGAATTAGTGTTCTCTTTCTATATTTCATTTCGTTTCAGTCTGCTCTTAACTGTTTTTTTTTCTACCTAGATGGTTGTAGGATCAACATCAGCAACTTTCTGAAAACACGTATATATTGCTTCCATGCACCTACATTATAATCTTCTCCAAAAATCTTCATCTGTTGCCTCCCAGACATTACATTCTGCAATGTTAAACTTTCATTTTTCCTAATAGAAATATGTCAAGAGGAGCATGCACAAAATCCAACATACTAAATTAAAAAATGAAGGATACAAGTATGGAAGACAAAACACAGTTTGCAGGCAAAGGAATACTATGAAAAAAATATCCAAGGAATATAGTGGCATGTGTTTTATCTTTTTAATTGTTTTCCGGACCATTCATACGGGTTGGGGAGTGAGGATCTGCAAAAGGACTGTAGCCTTTTAAATTATAATACAAATATTTTGTGGTTTCAGAATTTAGAAACATGCTCCTGTCTTTGACAGTTTCCATTGATATGATAAGCAAATGCTGAATATCTTTTGGTCAGAGCACACAGTATGGGCTGACATTGACACCTGATGTCCTTGGACAAGGACCAGAATTCTGAGTGCCTGGGAAATAGCAATAGCAATAGCGCTTACACAGTGGTGGGATTCAGCCAGTTCGCACCACTTCAGGAGAACAGTTGTTAACTTTCTGAGCAGTTTGGTGAACTGGTTGTTGGAAGAAATCATTAAGGCAGAGAACCGGTTGTTAAATTATTTGAATCCCACCACTGCACTTACACTTTATACCGCTTCATAGTGCTTTACTAAGCAGTTTACAGAATCAGCATATTTCCCCCAATAGTCTGGGTCCTCATTTTATCATCCTCGGAAGAATGGGAGGCTGCGTCAATCTTGAGCTGGTGAAAATCGAACTGCTGGACTACTGCCAGAGTAGCCTGCAGTACTGCATTCTAATCACTGTGCCACCAAGGCTCTTGTTGAATGAATGCTCAGTCAAGGCCCAATGTGGGATTTTTTTTTCCTGCTTCCTGTCCACCCTTCTTTGGCAGTACCAGTTGTCCTCCAAGGGTTACAAAGAACATAGCAGTAACATGGCAACATCCAAGTCAGTGCAACAAAATGCGTGGCACATTCCAACAGGGCTTGCCCATGAAATACTCTACAGCAATTATGGTAAACCTTGCAGAGATTTAATGCATGTATGTTCTTTTACCTTAAAAAAACACAATGTCACAAAATCATAGCACTGAAAATCCAAACAAAATCCAAAATTTACATTTGGTACTACAATCTGCAAGAATACCAGCAACAGCTGTATAAAACAACTCAGCTGACTACCAAGTTATTTCTTGATCAGTCAGCTCAAGCAAAACTTTTCAAACCACCTTCAACTGTTTTTTTTTTAACATGCAAGCCACTTTTGTTGGATTTTCACTTATGTTTAATTCCTTAACAGAAAGAAAATGACCCCTTGTTCCTAAATCTGAAGAATTAATTTAAAGTATAATTGGAAGAAAAAGTGACCTGTTTGGATATTCCTTGATGATCTGATAAATGCTAATCTTAATTGTTTCATTCTCAAATCGACTGTAACTTCGATCCTTGTAAATCCGAAATTCTGCTGCTGTCACTGCTTCTCCGCGAGGGATCTGAGTCAAATCAAATCGGAATTCTTTGTAGTGACGTCGTTGGTGAGAAAAATCCTTGTCTCTTTCCACTATGAAAATAAAATGAAACGAAAAGGTTAAAAATCCATGTTAATGCAGCACTCATTACAGGTTTTAATTTAAGCTATAGGAGACATTTAAGAATCCAAAAGTCACAAGGTCAAAGGGGCTAGAGCCTACAACAACTTGGAAAGGAAATCATTCAGCAGAAAGAACAAAAAATAGACTATATATTTAAAAGTAATAAAGTTGTGGGCAAAAGAAAATCTCCACATGTTAGAAAAGAATTATGAAATTGGGTTCGCTCATCTTTCTATATGAACAGGAATTACTAGCAGATGATCTTGGCATGGATGTTTGGACAGCATTTGAGGAAACGAAGCTGGCCAGGCCTTGGCTGAAGTTGTAATATATTACATGGATGCTTGTTCCATTCTCATGCGGTGGTATTTGTATTCCCAGCTATATTTGCTCTGCAAATGAAACCATATTGAAAACCTTGTTTGCATAGCTACTTCTATCTACAGCAGGATGCTCATTAGACAAAAATATTAGTCACAAACTCTCTGAATTGTTTTGAAGAAGTCATTCTTGCTGCATCTGTTGTTCATCATAATGGCAGGACTGATGACTCATTTACAGGAGGAGTGGTTAACCTGAGGTGCCTAAGCCATCTGGGGCCTCTAAGCCTCTTTTCTGCAGCTCCCAGTACTGACCACTGACCACAATTGCTGGAAATTAGAAGCTTGGTTTCAGATCATTGTGAGGTGCAAACTACATAAAAATGGTCATTTACACCCCCCAAAAGGCTTAATTTAGTTTTAAAATAAAAATAAAAACCCATTCTAACCAATCTGTTCTGAATCCTGGCTCTATCTTTTCTCTCACCAAGAATTAAATCCTTGTTGCTAACACCCTGGGTATTAATGGATCTGGGATTGTGAATGCAACGCCTAATTAATCCATACACATAACACTTCACAAATGTCACTGCTTCCTATTAAGAGAAAGATACAAGGTCTTAGTGTGGCTTACTTAAATCTGTACATCCCCTGCAGAAGCAAGAAAGTAAACCAATCACTTCTAGGTGGTGGAGGTTACTGTAAACTGACAGAGAACAAAGCACACATGTTTACAGCTTCAAACCAATGAAATGATGGTGTATTTTCACTAAATACTTGGGTTATCTGACAAGCAGAGGTCAGAGGTTCCAAGAGTTTTGTCTTGAAATTACTAAGTGCTCTTCAGCTGGCTGATAATTGAAAGCAGAGGCTAGAAATATCAAAGAAGGTAGGTGATAGATAAGTCACAGATAAATGGGCTCTAGTTCTTATGTCCTCAAAAAGCAGAGGCTCCAGGAATTCCCTGTTGTGTTACTGGGAACAGACCAAGGCATCAGTCATGGTACCTATTCCTATCTATATCTCCTATCATTATCCAAGCCCAGCTCTTCCCTGATCTCTTGGTTCTTCAGGCATCCTCCAAGGATGCAGAAGAAAACCTGAACTTTCATAGGGGATTAGAAATAGGGACTCATCAGAATGAAAAAGGTATATGTCTATTTCATTCAGTATGGATAGTTCGAAAAAATATGAGCTCTGAGTATTATCCGTAACACTACAGTTTGAATCCCATTCTAGAACAGAATTATTTTCTTATTAATCCTCTGATCCTGAATGCCACAATCTCCTTCATACTGACTGCAGCTAACTTGCAATGTAAATCAGTCGCAGCACATAGAAATCTATTTCCTAGCTTTCCCCAAGAGCCACTTTTTACCTATGTTAATTAGAATTATACTGAATTAACAGGATTAGGAGAAGTAATAAAAACCTGTCTCCATATACCTGCTTTGAGTCCAACAATCTCTGAAGGGAACATAGACGAGGAAGCTGTGCTTGAATTGTAATTTTAGGATATGGAGTTTGTTGTTTAATCACATTTTTATGTTCCAAGTAAACACCTTGAATTATTTAGAAAAAAAATAAAAGTGGGATAAAAATACCTAAAAATAAGTACATGATTCATTAAAAGTAATGCCAAAAGGTTTTTAAAGAGATTGGGAATTTTGTTAAGTACAATATAAACCAAGAGTCTCTACCCCCAAATAGCCATGAACGCTGGTATCAAAGTTTGCAGTGAGAAAACAGAATAACCCAGCATGCCTTCAAATATAGATAAAGGTAAAGGTTCCCCTCGCACATATGCGCTAGTCGTTTCTGGCTCTAGGGGGAGGTGCTCATCTCCGTTAAAAGCCGAAGAGCCAGCACTGTCCAAAGACGTGGTCATGTGGCCAGCATGACTAAATGTTGAAGGTGCATGGAATGCTGTTACCTTCCCACCAAAGTGGTCCCTATTTTTCTATTTGCATTTTTACATGCTTTCAAATTGCTAGGTTGGCAGAAGCTGGGACAAGTAACGGGAGCTCACTCTGTTACGTGGTGCTAGGGATTCGAACTGCTGAACTGCCGACCTTTCTGATCGACAAGCTTAGCATCTTAGCCACTGAGCCACCACATCCTCAAATATAAATTTATTTTGAAAACAATCACAGGCAACACTCCATTCCCAACCTCAAAGTGGCCCCATATTTCCAGATATGGCCTGTATTTGATGCTGATAACAATACTACGCACTTGCTCTATCTGTTGGCTGAGAGATCTCAGCCACTCTAGCCTCATCCATTGAGGCAGCCCCCTTTCTTCCATTCACTAAAGCAGGCAGACCACAGCAGTGGTTCCAGTCACAATGCCCCCCTGATGCACAGTCATCCTCTGTCCTATTTTGCTTTAGTTCCAAAACATACCTTTGTCCTAGTCTTATGAAGGACCTAAAGTGTCCACCTGAGATTGGCAAGCTATCCTCTCACCCCATCAGCTATACTTCCTCTGTAAGAAGGCGTGTGAAGGTTGCGCATGCCTTCAGCACTCTGACCTGCTCCCTCCAAAGCACCACTGCAGGTGTTTGGACCATGACTATGAGATTGTGAGTTTAAGGCCTCAGATGTAAATTCTTTAAAACTCTTGAGGTCAGTTTGACATAGCTTTATTGTTTGGTAGAGTTGCAACTATCTAAGTCCACATATGGATCAACCGGACAAGGTTGTAGTCTTGTAGCATGCCAGCAAGTGATTCTTTACTCCACACATTCCTAAATGCTGGAAAAAAATTATGTCCTGGGAGGGCAGTTGATCATTGACCAAAACCTTTTATTAGTTGAACAGACAAGTGCCAAAACAGACAGGGCAAGATCATAATTACATCAGTGGAGGAATTGAAGCAGAATTTTGGACCTAGTCTGTCTTCTTCTCTTGCTCCTTTGGTGTTTTAATACTACCTGCAGCTGGACACAACCATTTCAGTGTGTTTACTCACAAAATATCACCAGGAAATTACACTGCTCATGCCTGGCCGCATGCCACAGTTGTGCAATATTGGGAGACTCTAGTGGCTACGGCGATGGAAAAATAAGAAACAGAGTAAATGAAAATGCTTCCTATGTCTCCATCCCTAATTAAGCTTTTGCTTGGAACACTCTTCAAAATAAACATACTTTATGTAGAACTCGGCTGAATCCTTATTTTAAAATGATTATTAGTTGGTTGCTAAAATGAAACTAAGATGGCCTATTAGTAAAATCAACCACCATAAGCTGTTTTACACTAAGAGGTTTAAAACCTTCCATAATATTTTTAAATGGATATTAAAAGTTTTAGCTGTTTGCTTTCCAAGATTATTACTGCTGAAAAGTAAATGTATTTTGTTATATGCATGCCTTTGAGAAATTAGGCTACTAAAGCATTTACATTTTTTTTCATCTTAGTCAGAATTTATACTTCTCTGAAGAGCTTAAGTTCCTACTGTTTTAAAATACCCCAAAACAGGTTAGTAAATAGCTATTAAGCAAAATGACCCTTTGACCTCTCAGTTCATGAAGCTTATATTGTATGCTTGTTCAGCTACTTAAAACCCAATCAACTGTGAGTATGTCCTTCGCTTCCTCTCTCAAATAATCTGACAGAGATTTATCTACAACCTGAGCATCACAAAGTCTTTTTTTTACAAACTATCTTATTCTTAGTATTTTCTGATAATAGCTTGTGCTGCTGTTGCCTTTATTTTAATTTTCTGTTATATAGCCTTTTATTTACTAATTAAATTTATATGCCACCCATCTTACTATCAAGCAATTCTGGGTAGATTGCTATCTTTCTTTATTCATTTAAAAAAAAAAAAGCTTAAAGATGCTAACCCCTAACAAAAAAAACATTAAGAAAAAATTCACAGGCCACCATAATCAAACAAGAGGCTCTCCTGATCATTCTTTCATGAAAATGTGTTATGTGTGTGTATAAAATAAGAAAACCATCTCACCCCACGAAGTAATTCTGACAACCATATTTGTAAGCATGTACTATTCATTTTATTTGTAATCCTTTATATTTTCCAAATCCTACTAGTGTTGTGGCTGTCAAAACAAGCATTTCTTTGTAGCAACCCGTTCATCAGGTTCTGACCAGTTCTAGAGAACTGGTAGCAGAAATTTTGAATAGTTTGAATAACTAGCAAATACCACCTCTGACTGCCCCCCCCCGCCACATCTATTCTCTGCCTCCCGAGTCCCAGCTGATTGGCTGGGTCTTCTTTTGTTGCCCTACACAGGAGAACGGAGCTGGAAAGCAGGTTAGTGGGGTGGGGAGGAAATGGGATTTTGCAGTAAAAATCTGCAAATTTTGGGGTGGGAATGGAGATTTTACAGTATCCTTCCCCTGACATGGCCACCAAGCCACGCCCACCAAGCCATGCCCACAGAACCATTAGTAAAAACTTTGAATCCTACCACTGAACCCGTGGTTTAACTTTCTTTGAAAGAAAGCTTCATTCTTGCTACTAAACTGGTCCTCTCCCCTCTTGCATCAAAACATGTCCTGGCAGCTTCTTTTTTTCTTCCCTCATGACATCACCTCCAACTGGTCTCTAGTTCAGGGGTGTCAAACTGGCGCCACATGGGCCAGATGCAGCATGCATAGGCACACCCACCCCCGCTCCGC